ATATAAGTCTAAGTGCTATGGCTATTGCTATTAAAATCAAATGGAGAACCAATCTTCACCATCCATTGTTATTCAGAAATCAGGTTGAAAAATGCTTTGAGGGTCCAGGACATTCCTGGGAATAATTCTTTAAAGATGATACTTTCCCCTTCAGAATGAAGAAAATACTAGTTCTGGGGTCTCATTCCTGTGGATATAGGAAACTGCTTTAGGTTAAATCAGAATGGAGGCCCAGTCTGATTTAATATATCTCTACTGAAATGAGGAACATCTAAGGCTTGGCCCCACAAGCCTTTACTTCCTTCTGCCAAAGACTGTACCCAACATCTCCCGCTAAGTCAACTGCCATTATATAATCTCTTTTTGGAGATACCATTGAACGGGATGTTTAATTATATGCTGTGTCTATGGAGATTCTCGATCATTTGGGTCATGGTTGTTTCAAAGTTGCTTTTCCCAAAAAGCAACTGGACTTTCTTGTTCTTTTTCCCCCTTTGAAAGTGTTCTCTTCTCATCCAAGAAGCTTCTTCAGTTCTTTCTTCAAAAACCAAGAAATTCCTGTTGCCTTTTGGAAGAAGCAGCTTTGGGCTAATTACATGATATGCTTCATCCTTCAGAAAAAAAAAAAAAAAGACATGACAGGCAACTTCTGTTAAAGTATTAAGATTTAAGAACTGACCAGCAGTGAATAGCTGCTACATGCTGTGAATCTGATGTAAGTCTGGCTGATGTAACAAGAGTGAGTCAGCATAGGATGAGTAACCCTTTAAGACTGGAGAGTAAAGATCCCCTTAAGAGGTGTGTATATAAATGGCAGCCATTAGAGAGCGCGGTTCTCTTTGCTTGTGATCAGTACTCAGTCCAGAAGTTTTCCATGTGTTAGGAAGAAGAAAGCTTGTTTGTAAAGGTATTTTGCCTACCACGTGTAGATTATCTGTACATACTTGTTGTATATTAAATCCCAATGTCTAAATCTGTGTGTGCTGTGTGTGGCTCCTAGATTTTCTCACAAGGGTAGTCATGCTGCCAAATGCTCCGACAACTTCCTGTAACTTTTTAAAATGGGGGTCATTGGTCCATGCACAGAAGTGGGTTTCCAGCTGCATAGCCCATGTTCCTGGGGTGAGATTCTACCCGTTTCTGTACTGGTTCGCTGATTGTGCACTTTGCACGTGTGTGTGTGCACCTAACGCATGCGCGCCTGCAGCTTTCCAAACACCAGCTGAGGCTCTGCCACAACCATCAGCTGAGAGGCTAAAGAACGGAAAAGCACAGGGGCAGGTGAGAGGGACGATCCTGCGCTTTTCTCTTCTTTCTCACTGAACCGGTAGCAATTTTTGCTACCAGAACCGGACCAAGCCAGTAGCATTTCACCACTGCCACTTCTCTTATTGCTGTTTAGTTAAAACACAATCATGCCTTCCAATGCCGTGGATCAGGGTCTTCTTGTAAAACATTGACACTATCTTTGTACTGACTTCCTTCTTAAGGTGTCCAGAAGCAGTACGAATGTGCAAACTTTGGGGAGCAAGGGATCTCTGTCGGATGCTATGACGTGTATCGGCATGATATTGATTGCCAGTGGATTGACGTTACCGATCTGAAACAAGGAGACTATATCTTTCGGGTAAGCTGTGTTTCCGCCAGGGAATGGTAACCATAGTCCTTGTTTGCAGAATATAAGCAACCCATCCTGTCTCTTCGCCAGCCAGTTAACTACAGGTAGTCCTCAACTTACAACAGTTCATTTTGTCACTGTTCAAAGTTGCAACGGCCACTGAAAAAAGTGACGTATGGCCATTTTTTCACAGTTTACAACCTTTGCAGTACGGCCATGATCACACGAACAAAATTCAGATGCTTGGCAACTGGTCCGTATTTATGATGGTTGTAGCATTCCGGGGCCATGTGATCCGCTTTTGAGACTTTCTGACAAAGTCAATGAGGAAGCCAGATTCAGAGCCGCGGTGGTGCAGTGGTTAGAGTGCAGTACTGCAGGCTCCTTCTTCTGACTTTTGGCTGCCTGCAATTTGGCAGTTCGAGTCTCACCAGGCTCAAGGTTGACTCAGCCTTCCATCCTTCCGAGGTCGGTAAAATGAGCGCCAATTGTTGGGGGCAAGAGGCTGACTCTATAAACCACTTAGAGAGGGCTGCACAGCACTGTGAAGTGGTATATAAGTGCTATTGCTATTGTCCTTTCTTCCTTCCTTCCTTCCTTCCTCCCTTCCTTCCATGGTGCACAGTGGTTAGAATACAATATTTCAGGCTGACTCTGCTTACAGGCAGGAGTTCGATCCTCATTGGCTCAAGGTTGACTCAGCCTTCCCTCCTTCCGAGGTCAGTAAAATAAAGACCCAGACTGTTGGGGACAATAGACTGACTGTCTAAACTGGTTAGAGAGGGCTGTAAAGCATTGTGAAGTGGTGTATAAGTCTAAGTGCTATTGCTATTCACTTAACAGGTGGGTTACTAACTAATCAACTGCAGTGATTCATTTAACAACTATAGCAAGAAATCTCGTAAAACGGGGCAAAATTCACTTAGCAAGTAGCTCCAGTAAATGCAGTTTGTGCTTGAAAATTGTCTGCTGGTGATGGGTAATCGAAGCCTCCCCTTTTTACGTATGAGGTGTAAAAAGAGATGGGGCTTCCATTGCACGATCAAACTAACTTTTCTTACACGCACCCGGTGAGGATTATATCTCCAATTAGATCACACTTAAATTCCTGTTATCTTTTCCCAGATCATTGTTAATCCGAACTTTGAAGTGGCAGAGTCTGATTATTCCAACAATGTTATGCTATGTAACGTCAGGTATGGATCACTACGTGTGTGGGTGTACAACTGCCATATAGGTAAGTTGGGCCTTTACTTTTCTTTTTTCTTTATTTTAAACAACTATGGTACTTGCAGGGATAAGCTTTGTATCAGTAAAATAGTTCTCCGCTCTTCAAGATCAGGAAACAAACTGTAGTAACATTATCAGAACTCCACAGTTGCAGGATCTTGAAAGCCTGACAAACTTTCTCCTCCCTCTCTGTCTCTCTGTGTCTCTGTCTTTCTCTCTCAGTGAGTGTGTGTATTTCTGTGTATCTCTGTGTGTATCTTTCTCTCTCTCTCTCTCTCTCTCTCTCTCTCTCTCGTACTGAAGAGAATCGAGACAAGAGCAGTCTTGAGTTTCTTTCTCACCCTACCTCTCTCAAGGCTATGCTGGTGTTTATAAAGTTGCCCTCACATTCCTTCTTTCAAGCCATCTCTGTAGTTCTCTACAATAATTGAATCGCTTGTATCAAAACAGTGTAAGAAAAATATTCTTTACTTAAGAAATTCTCTCCCCAGTGATGGTTGTAGGTTGAGGAATACCTGCCGTTTTTCATCTTTTGCACATAGCTATCTGAGTTGACTGTAGTATTTGACTCTTCGCTCTCTTTTTCTCCTTTTCACAGCCAACTCTTACTATGAACCAGACCAGAAAGAATATTTCACTGGACTTTGGAACAATCAGGTGTTTTAATTTTAGAGTCCCTCTGTTTTAAAGAAAAAAAGAAAAAAAAAAGGAAGGGCTTTCTCCATGATTTCCCTAACCACTGCTCAGAAAACTGAAGTTATCAAGCAACCAACCACGAATGTTTCACGTTAGCTCTGTAAGTTATTTTTCAAGGGTGTTACTCCAAACCTACTTTGCAATGTTTAGCAGAAGGAGACCGCAACGGCAGGCTCAAATTTCACACCATACCAAGAGAAGGAAAGTTTTGCACTAGCTGTATGACTTTGCTTCCCTCCGAGTCCTTCAACCCTTGCAAACTCTCACACTCTTGGTCCACTGCAGCATCCAAAGGGGCACCTGATTGACAGCTCTGCAAGGAGGTTTGATGCTCCGCGTTATCTTTTTTTGAGGACTTCTCTTACAGCCTTGGTAGTTTGTCTCGCAGACATTCGAAAATCTGACTCTATGCCACTGGTGGAAGGTCGCCTTTCTTCATCTTAGCCTGCTCACATCTCCAAGAACACGGGTGATACCAGGGGTGGGAATCCTACCAGCATAACAACCAGTTCGGTGAGTGTGCGTGCACAGTGCTTGTAAATCAACTTCTCCTGCAAGCAGCAATCTTCTCCTGTGCCGCACAAAGCAACAAAGGTTCCTTTAGCAGGGAATAAAGGACAGCCTAGAGCCCAGGTGGGCAGGTGGGCTCAACCGAAGCAAAGAAGATCGTCAGAGCAAACTGGTTTGGTGTCTTCAGAGCTACCGGTTCTATAGAACCATGCCAAACCGGTAGAATCCCACCCCTGGGTGATACTTGGTTTTGGGAGGGGGAAAAGGTGAAACTGTCTGTAGGGCAAGGAAAATAGGGCCATCCTAACTTCCATCTTGGTTTTAAAAAACCACTAGAATGCGGATTTTTTTATTTTTTTTTTGAAACATAATAAGCCCAGGGTGTCAAACTCAGATCTGGCCCAGGGAACACCCTGGAAACAGCGAAGGACTGGCCCACAATGCCTCTGCCAGCAAAAATGGAGGTAAGGAAGGCCGTGTGTTCAGTTTTTGTTGGCAGAGCACTTGGGCCCCCACAGGCACCTGTGATGACCCGGGGCACAAAGGCAACACAGTCACATAAATAAGAAGAGTCCCGTTCATACCTCCAACTTTGTCCCCAATGTCCAGGTTACCTTTGGCTGGAGAAAAAACTCTCCCAAGAACAGTCTTTAAGTGGAGAAAATTCAGTCCAAAAATAAAGTCCATACAAACTGTAAATAAAAATCCACACAAACCATGCTGCAGCAATTAACTTGACAGGGCAGGAGAAGGAATTGCAGACTTGGAAGGCCAACAAAACACACACAGTTGGGAAGGTGCCAGGACCCAGATAAGCCTCGACAATAACAGATAACTCACAATTTGCTTCCAACAAGTTGCTATGCGTAGCTTCCCTTTTTAAACACTGCGTTCCCAGCTGCACCTAATGAAGGGAATCAGGGCCCTTTCCTCCCACGTAAGCCATGCAACTCATGTTGCTCCCTTCTCTGTTCCTCCCTGCGTGCCCTAGGATGAAGAGGGGCTGGGCCTGGGTCTTCCTCTGAATTCCCTCTCCCTTCCTCTACGTCTTCCCTGCTCTGCCAGCCAGACTGTGCCCTCTCCCAGTTTCTTCCACAGCCAACAGAACCACACTCCTACTCCCAGTCAACTGCTCGGCCTCCCCCTCAGAATCAGATTCCTACAGGGGCATGACAGCACCCATGATACTAGTGATGTCAAGCTGGCCGTGCCTCCCTGCCCACACCTCCCTGCACCCCGAAGTCAAATACAACCCTGATGTGGCCTCCATGAAATCAAGTTTGACACCTGCCCTGCCTTATGTCTTTTCCATCCAAGCTACTCCACTCTAGCCATCTATTTCCCTCCCGTTAATATTAAGAAATATATCAAGTACACCAAGCTTTTCTCACGATAGACCACTTCCCTATTCATTACAGCAAACTATTCTACAGTATCCTGTAAGATTTTTTTTTTAAATGAATTTCTTAGGACACATTTTTACATGGGAGTCCTTGAAGGGGGTTCCAAAAATCAAAATGGCAACTCCCAACCACGTGATTGTAGCCATCTTGACTTTTTTCGATGATAACCCTTGCGTTAGTAAATGTATGGTGGTGCTAAGCACATTTGCCTCTGTTTGTTTGAGGCCATGCATTGCTGCCGAAAACCATTCCTACTTGAATTTTTTTTTTTTTGTTTCTTGATTTTAAAGGAAAGGCCTTTTACCCAGGGAGACAGTTTGTATACAGTACTTCCAAAGGACATTTAAAAAGCAACAACACAAGTTTCCAATTTTCTTACTTTTACGATCCTGTACAAAAGAGGGAACCGCAAAATCGAGCTATATTTGCTGCAGTGCATCAGAGCTCCACCTCCAGCGTTTTGTTTCTAAAATAATCATCATCATCATAATCAGATATATCTTTTGGAGGTCCAAAAAGGTGAATGTGAACTTTTCATCTATTGTTTCTTTTACGCATCAGTGACTAAGGGTAGATTGTC